GGGGCCCCCACCACCCCCCCCCCCCCCCCCTTGGCCAGGCCAAACCTTTGAAAAGGTCTCAATTCTGCCTTCCTGTTCTACTGCCATGGTACTGTGCATACAGAGCAGAGAGAATACATAGGCACCAGCACTAGACACAATTTTCTACACTCTAGGTCCTGCTGGCTCTCCTCCCACCCCACGTCTGGCACCTGAGCCTGTCACCTCAGTTCACTTCATGATCAGGCCAAGCCTGCCTCCCCATCCTCTATGGCAAAGGGGGAGGGGAAAGCAAGAAGAGAAATAGGGCTGCCAGGGGAGAATGGGGTAGAGATGGAGGGGGGAGGAGTAGAGACAGGACTCCTGCCTCCCAGCAGCCAAGGGGAGTGCCAGGACTGGAGGGGCAAAGGGGCAAGGCGGCAGGGGAGGGGCCAGGCCTGGCTTTAGGAAGTGCGGGGCCTGATTGAAACAATTTCTATGAGGGCCTGCAGCAATTTTAATTGAGAAAAAAAAATCACAAGTTTCAACAGGGGGCCAAGCAATTTTTTTGTTGGGGGGGGGGGGGGGGGACCAGCTAACGCCTCCACAAAGCCCCGCAGATAGCTAACACACACACCACCACGCCCAGGGCGCCTTGCACAAGAGCTACGCTCTTCTCTAAAAGGTGTAAGCGCTCTTGCACAAGAGGGCAGTGTGGATGCTCAGCAGGGATTTTTTACGCAAGAAACCCCTATGGCTAAAAGGGCCATTGGAGCTTTCTTGAGCAAGAGAGCGTCCACACTGCCATGGATGCTCTTGCACAAAAGCAGATCGCATATTGCAGTGTGGATGTCTTGCACAAAAACCCTTGCGCAAGAAGCCGCCAGTGTAGACATAGCCTAAAAGTTTCCTCCCATGAGCAGAATGAATTGTGTTGTGCATCAGTACTGAGTTCATGTAGCTTATTTGGATGTGCCACTCTGGCACCCAAGTTATTTATAAATATTTTATAAACCTTTACCTTTTCTCTCTGCTGCCAGGTCTCCTCTCCTTGCTCCATCAGCTCCCCTGGTGCCTGCTGCCCGCCAACTCCTCACCCTCCTCTGCTGTCCTGACTCCTGCCCTTCTCACTGCCCTCAGCCCTCCTGCAACCTGCCCCCCTCCACCAGCCCTTCTCTGTCCCGTGCCCACTCCTACAGTAGCCCCACTCTGATCATATGAGCTACCCCTCCTCATCCGCTCTTCTAACACCTCCCTCTACACACCTGTTCTGCCTCTCTCCTCTGGTGCTGGTCCCTCCCTGCAGGTGTCTGCCCTTCTGCTTCACCCCCAGAATCCCCTGGCACCTGCACCTTCCCTTAGCCCTGCACCCTCCTGGTGCCTCCCCCTTCCCTCACTGTCCTGCCCCTTTGCCCTCTTTTTCCCTGATGCTCACTCCCTCACCACTCTCTGCCCCCATTTCCCTCATTCCCCTCTGTGCTCTCACACATGATTTGCTCCATCTCCACCTTTCTCATGCCCACCCTTCTTTCAAGCCTTTTCCCAGCACCTCCCTTCCTCCCTCTAGACCCCAATGCCCTTACCCTCTCCTCTCCCAGCATCACCCTGTCCCCCCACCCACTGACACCTCCCCTCCTGCCCTTTTCCTTATTGTCTGCACTTGGCCCCCCGGCATTTGTCTCTCTTCCACCCTGTCTCTTGGTGCCTTCCCCTTTCTTCCCCCTCCCCCTCCGCACAAGCCCCTTCCTCCCCCTCTCCCTCCTCACCTTACCTTCTGCCTTTCACTTTGCGGGGCTGGGGTCGGAGTCTGCCCTCAGGCCCCGTACTCCAAACTCAGAGCTAGGCTGAGTGGCACAACATGGTGCCAAGCAGTTTTAAAGTCCCGGGTCGTGACATCACGTCACACCCAGGTGTCCTCCCCACTCACCTGCAAACGCCGCACATGGCAGCAGCAGTCAGCAAGGGGGAACCGGACTTAAAGCTGTGCACGGCAGGGACGGGCTAGGGCCAGGGGGGGACGCGCTGGGGTGGGAGGACGTGCGGGGGAGGGAGGCCGCTCCAGGCAGGGCTGGGGGAGACCCAGCTCCACATATTGGTGGAGCAGGGCCCCTGGCTCTGAATATTGGACCATGAGCCCATGTAACTCGCCGCCCATGTTTCTGGGTTCAGGGCGCAGGGGTCCAATTCAGGGGAATCGGCCTAAGGCCAGCCCTGGGAGGGGCAAGAGCCAGGGCAGCTTTGGGGCCAGGCCCTCCCCAGCCACT